TGAGCCACACCTCTTCTGGGCCCACCTGGAAGAAGCACTATGTCTAGGCCGAGGTGGCCACAGAGTGGTGATGTCACCCGTCCAGCCTGTCCTGGGGGTGGGGCCAGCTGGAGCTGCAGGGATGTCCAGCCACACCCCCATGATATACCCGCTGGGTCCCAGGGCCACCCTCCCCTGTGCTGCCACCAGCCTGGACTGGATTGATCTCTTTGTGAATATTCATGAGGCATTCAGTGGGGACCAGTCATTGATATTCGGAGAAAGAATGAACACCCTTCAGTGAACGTGACAGTCAGTCAATACGCAGCGGATGGAGGATGCAGTCGCAGACTTTTGGGCCTCCGAGGCTCAGGAGGGTGGGGCAGGACTGCCTCCTCCAGCCCCACCCCCATACCCCGCTTCCTCATCGGCCCCTGACCCGCTCCGCCTCTGCCTGCCCAGACGCCCCTGTGGGATCCAGGCCTGCTCAGCCCTGTCCTCTCTCCTCCTACCGCGGGGTGTTCACCCCACACCCACAGCCCTCACTATGACCAGACACCAAGGACCCCGCGTCTACTAATCAAGCCCATTTGCAGGGCCCACCTCCCAAACAGAGCTGACACCTTCCTGCTCCTGGGCCTGGGCCCAGGTCAGCAGTGCCCCCAGCATCCAGTTAGAAGCGAACCTAAAGCCGTGGGCAAGGCGAGGCCGGCATGATGGGCCCTTGGGGGTTCCAGCTTATTCCCTACCCCCTCCCTTGCTGCCTGAGAGCCACCTGGCTGCTCCCATGGGCTGGCCAGTCTGGTGTTCAGGACAGGAAGCTGTGCAGCCCCCATGCCCCGCCTTCAGCCTCCAGACCCAGGTCGGGATGGCAGGTGGCCACAGCTGGACTGGCCAGAGATGGAGGAACTTTGCCCCCACCCAAGGCTTCTGGGAGACTATGGATGTGGCAGGGGTGGGGTGCAGTGGGGGTGCTGGTGAGTCTGCTAACCGCATGATTAGGATGTGCTTATGTCCAAGACACACGGGTCACCCTGCACCCTCCCATGTACGTCTCTACTGCAGGAGACTGCAAAGGCCACGGCACAGGGCCTGGTGTGTGGGGGGGGCTGGCCCAGCTAGGGGTGCCTGGAAGCCGTGCTGCACTGTCTGCCACCCACCCCCAGGCGCAGTGCGGACTGCACACCTCAAGCCACAGTGGCCCTGCAAGGCCCCATGTGACATACACAGCTGCCAGCATGCCTGGGCATGCCGCCCAGCTGGGCTGGGGGAGGGGAGCCGGCCTGGGAGCCGCTGAATCAGCTGCACCCGACTGTCCCTGCCTGGGCAAGGATGCTGGGAGGTGGGGGCAGCTCCCTCTTTTGGGAACTGTCAGGGAGGCGCATCAGGCTGCTGGGAATTTTCTGGAAAGCCGCCTCTGCAGCCCCCTGCCTGGGAAGTGCTGCTTCCCCAGACGGAGCTGGGTGCAGAGAAGCTGGGGAGCCTCTGCAGGGGTGAAGGGAGGGCCTTCCTGGGAGGGGCAAGGGCAGAGAGGGACCCTTTCCAAACAAGACCAAAAAGGGAAAAGAGAAAGCGCACCGGCCTCCGCAGATCGAAGCACGTTTCCCTCCCCAAAGTGCTGGCTCAGCAGTCGGAGGCGCCGCCGCCTCCCTCCCTCCCGCTCCCCACACGCCCTCCCAAGGTCAGGAACGTCAGAACCAGCCTGCGAGACTGCAGCAGCAGCACCCGGGTCATGCTCTGCTCCAGAGCGTGGGCTGCACCTGACCATCCTTCCCAGGTGGGGGCTCGTTCAGAGTCCAGTCCCTGGCTGTCCCCTGCTGGCCAGCTGCCACCACCACAGGGGCAAGGTGGGGTCACAGAGGGTTGTCATCATACCAGTGTGCCTGCAGGTGGTGTTTGGTTTTGCCGGTGGAAGCTGCAGGGTGCTCTCTGCCAGGGGCTGCACGGTACAGCGCAGAGAGTGTCTTCCGCGTCCATCCTGTGCCTGGGGACTGAACAGACCTGGACTATCTCAAATATGCATCTGATTTCTAGAAAGTATCAAGCACATCCCCTTTGATGGCGTTTGGATGTGTTGTCCCCTCCAAAACTCATGTGGAAATCTGATCCCCAGTGTGGCAGTGTTGGAAACTGTTTGGGTCATGGGGGTGGATCCCTCATGAATGGATTAATGCTCTCCCTGGGGGAGGGGGGATTAATGAGTGAGATCTCGCTCTATTAGTTTTCCGGGAGAGACCTGGCACCTCCTCTCTCTCTCTTGCTTCCTCTCACCATGTGATCTGCTTGTACCCGCCGCTGCCTGCCGTTTTCCGCCATGAGTAGAAGCAGCCTGAGGTCTGTGCCAGATGCAGCTGTCCCAGTATCGTGAGCCAAATAAACCTCTGTTCTTTATAAATTCCTAGTCTCAGGTTTGTTATAGCAACACAAAACGGACTAAAACACCCTCTGTCCTAGAGATGAAAAGAGTATCCTGAATTACCCAGGTGGACCAGTTTAGGCATGACTCCTTGGCTCTGATTTCCCTCATCACCCACAGGGACCCCCACATCCTCCAAGCTGGAGTCCTGGGATAGCCGTGTTATCCTGCTGGGAGCGCTGGGCACAACCCCAGGACCCAGGGACAGGTGGACATTGACTCCGGCTTCTTCCACACTCCTCACACCCGGCTGTATCTCTGGACTCAGCCCTCGTGTTCACCATCGAGAGGAGTCTCCCACCTCCGCTCATCTCCCTCCCCTCCTGCCCTGAGACCACCTTCCCTGGTGCCCCCCTGACTCCTGCCCAGCCCACCAGCTCCCTCTCGGGCACCGCCCCTCTGCCTTGGCCAGCTTCCTTCTCTGGGTCCTCTCATGCAGCTCCCATGCTGCTCCACCTGAACAGCAAGTGGGCCTCGTGGGGCCCTTCCTCTTCACTCGCTCAGGTCTGGCCCATGGCTGAGCCCGAGGTTGTCCCTACACCCACAGTCTCCCTGGTGTGACTTTCTTACCTCACAGGCAGCCTGGGCCACCAGGGGACCAGGGCAGGGGGAGCAACTGAACGGTCTGGCCTCTCTGTCAGGACTAAGCCTGGCTCCTTGCTGGGCACTGGCCCAGGGCCTCTGCTGGCCTGGTTTCATCCCAGCTCCTCCCTAGTCCCTGACTCCCGGCTGCCACGGGAGCCCCAAGCCTGTGAGCATGCAGGTCACTCCGTTTCTTCATGCAAACATGGAGCCCAGATTGAGCAAATTCATCTGCTCCAAATAAGACATTTCAATGGAATGTCCAGGTCCCCTGGGATGTGGCCCTCGAGTGTCTCCCCACCCAGCCAAGGCACAGCTGTTGCTGGGGAGCCCCAAGCTGCCCCTGCCAGACAGCCCTGACACTTGATGCCACAGGGGGCCTCCCAGGGATCTCTCTCTGGGCAGCACCTTAACCAGTAACTACAGCATCGTCTGGTCTGCGTGTCTGTGGACAGAGGGTCTGGGCAATCCCTGAGTGGCGCTGACACAGCTCAGCATGTGGTCTGGGGTCTCGAGAGGTGAACACCTTTGAAAACAGTGCCTGTCAAACAGGGAAAACACCCGGTTAATACAACCTGCAGACAGCAGGTCTGCTAGGGACTGAAGCCACAAAGGCCTCACAGCCCCTCAAATCCCCAGGGAGGTCTCCTTGGACACCAGAGGAGCTGGCTCAGCTGGGCTCCCCCAAGGCCACATTCATGGCCACTGAGGCCTGGCACACGTCAACACCCTTGTGGGCTATCTACCAGGGAACTCAGTCACCTTAGGTCTGATGAAACATTCACTCAGTCACAGCAGCCCTGGTCCATGTACTCAGAGGTGACACAGGGCTGGTGGCTCCTGCGCTGGACAGTGCAGATGAGACATTCCCACCATCACAGGGGTTCTATGGGACAGAAGTGGCCTAGACAAGGAACAAAGCACCCCAAATCCACCAAAAACAGGGTGAAGCCAGGTGTGGGGCCCAGGGAAGGTGGGCGTCCCCACACTGCTGAGGGCATGGTGAGGGGCCTAGTGGAGAACCGTCCCAGGCACAGCCACCCTCACCCATGCCCTGTGATGCAAAGTGCCAGCTGCTCTCCCAGGGCCAAGCCGCCTAGAGCAGGGCTGTGGCTGAGCCCCACCAGGGGGCCCGTATGCTCATCGGCCTACCTGGCACAGCCATTCCAGGGCCCTGCACCCTCCTTGGCACTCAGCTGTGGCCCAGCATCCCCTGGGTCCCCAACCCAGACCCTCAGATCAGAAGCCCCAGTCTGGGAAGCCTCAGCCCTGAAAGTGGTAAAACAAACTTGTCCCTCCTAAGTGCCCAAGCTGCCTTTCGGGGGCAATGGCCTTTCTAAGGATTTTACAAACTCTCTGCCATCAAAAACTAAACCCCAAAAGTTTCACAAAATCCAGAAACAGGTTGCTACTGGTAACTAAACCCAATCTTCCTTTAAGGGGCTTTTTCTGGCCATACTGGCTGCTTGGAAGGAAGCCACCATCACCCTCGCTATGTTGGAAGAAGTCTTCACAAGTGAAAAAATGAGACGTGAATTTGCCCTCCACGGAAGCTGAGGAAGCCTTCACAATGTAAACACGCTAAATACCAAGTCTCCCATTTTTCAGTCTGGTTTTTTGGTTAGACAAGAGCTGCATCTCTGGTTTTTCTTCCAGTTTTCCTTCTGTGCACATGTGTCTTCCCCGCAAACTGAGAACATGCTGTACTCACAGCCCCAAGTCTTACTTTCTTCCACGGGTGCATGAGAAGCAGAACATAGCCCTCATGGAACAGGCCCCTCCCTGGGCCAGCAGTGGGGTGACCAGTGACCATCTCTGCTGACAAATTCCCGCCTTCCAGCTGGACCACCTCAGGAGAGCTTCCAACGGCAGAACCCCTGGCCTCCCCAACATCGTAAATGACTGCTTTTAAAAATTTTCCCAGTTTTACAGAAGAAAAATGGTTTCTACAGAGTTTTTGGTTGGTTATTATATCCTTCAAAGAAGGAATAAAAATTTTGAGCTTAAAGCAATCACTCCATCAACACATTAAAAAAATAGGTTTAATGCAGGTGGTTCATTCATTGAGAATTTAACAGGCACTCAAGACACCGAGCCGTGTGGTGTTCGGCATGTAGCAAGAGATCCTGGACCCCCTGTACTACATGTTCAAATTCCAGGCGGCACCACCAGGCTCCTCCTGCCACCCTGCCCTGTGGATACGCACCCACCTGCACCCTCTGCGAAGGAGGCTGCAGTGGTTCTGAGTAACAGGAGTTAATTAGCATAAAACAAAGCTTCTTTGAGGAACAGCATGATTTAGTGCAAAAGATTTTCTGCAGCGAGAAGTGGGGTCTGCCTGGGTAAGCTGCTCGCCTGCCTGACCAGGAATCAGACTGGCGTCCTCTCAGAGCCCCCGCTGGCCTCAGACTGGAAGGTCTTTGAACAGAGGCTGGCTACGAGTTAAAGAGCACAGCTTACAGCCAAGCATTTTCTGCTTTCTCTACCTCATTTGGGTTTTCTAAGTTTATCTCCCAGGGGCACACAACTGTGCTAACAGCTCCCTGGCCACTGGTCTGTGTGGCAGGGCAGGGTCTAAAGGGCCACCACCCACCCCCAGAGGTGTGGGGACGACAGTTTGGGGTCAGGTGAGTGTTGACTTACTGGCCATCCTCAGCACTGGGCCCCACGTCCTGCCTGTGACAGCCTGGGTCCCATCCAGACAACCCTCCCACCACCAGCCTCATAGCACCCCCTCCCCCCGGCACCCACAGTGCCACCGGTGACAGAGAAGGCTGGAGCCGGGGTCTACATTGGCCCAGGGTGTCTCCTTCTCTCTGTGAAAGCGCTCACTGAGCACCAGCCCTGTGCCCCTCCTGCCACCTGCTCCTGCCTCCACCATCGTTTCTTCTTTTTACACCTCAGATGCTCTGACAACCACCAAGGCAGGGACAAAGGGGCAGCACAGCCGTTCGCTTACACCCAACCTCAGCACACGCCGGGATTCCAAGAAGAGCCCTCTAAACGCTGCTTGCTCCTGTCTCTGTAGCGCACACTCAGAGGCCTCATGGACACCTGACACCTGCTCAGGGCACTTGAGACACACAAGTCTCAGTTCTGGGTGATCTCTCAAAGAGAGCAGCCAAAAGCCCCCCAAAAGCCATAAAGAAATTGAGTTGCTTCCCCAGAAATCCACATTTGGTAAGATTTACAGCATCTGCTTGACGTTCTCAACAGACCTGACCAGGATGGATGCAGATCCCTGCAGCTGCTCTGGAGCTGGCGCCCAGGCTTCTGGCACTCCCCAGGCCAGCCCCTGTGCTAGGAACCTGTCGAGGCTGATCATGGCTCCCTGCTAGACCATGTCTAAGCAAACCAAATGGACACTGAAGCCTGGCCTGGGACTCGGGACCCACACAGCCCCTCTGGGTGACAGAGGTGGGTGGTCTGCAGGCTGTCGGGACTCAGGCGGCCCAGGGCAACGTGAGCAGTTTTGCAGCAGGGCAGTGTGTCAGCTAGTGGAGCGCTGTGGTTCCCTAAGGCTGAGGCTGGGACCAGGAGTACGCAGGAAGGGGGCTGTGCAGCCAGTAGGTACCCCTCCTGCAGAGCTGCTGCTGGGCAGCACACCCCTGTGTGTCCAAGGTCTCCCAAACCAGTGGTGATGCCTGGAGAGAGGCCAGGGAGATGGGGGGAGTCACATGGAGGCTCTGTAGTGCATACGGGCCACCCTACAGTACAACCTGAACAAGCGCAAGCAGGAGCCACAGCAGGCGTCCAGGAAACGCACCCACGGGAGGGCGAGAAGACAGCTGGCCGGAGGGATGGTGCCAGTGACCTGGGACAGAAGTCTCAGCCCTTTTCTCCCCAGGGAGGGAGCAGCAGACAGCACCACCGCGCTGGGTTGCTTGTGGGACGGGCTGCAAGGAAAAGGGCCCTGATTAACCATACCCTGTCAAGAAGAGAGCCCGGCTGCAGGCGGGTATAGCAGGGGGCGCCGGCACAAGGCCGGCCGCGCCCTCACATGTCCACAAAGACCATGAAGCACCAGCCCAGGCCCCCGACCAGCAGCATGGTGACGTGGATGCCATAGACGAGCAGCTCGTTCAGGAGGCGGAAGTCGACGCGCCGGCGGCCCAGCAGCAGCAGCAGCAGCGACAGCTTGAGCTGGCAGCGCAGCAGGACGCGCACGCCCGCGTACTGCAGGCAGAAGAGGGCGGCCAGCGCGCCCCACAGCGCGGCCGTGAACAGGCTGCAGCTGAAGTAGAGCAGAAAGCGGATGAAGCCGTACAGCCAGCGCGTCTTCACGTACACGTCGAAGTTGTTGTACTTGGTGCGCGCCAGGTGCGAGGTGCGCACGGGCCCGCAGGCCGCGTGCAGGCAGGTGCTGTGCGGGCCGTGGAAGGAGCGCGCCCGCCGCGGGATGGGCATGACCGGCATTGGGCCCAGCAGCGGTCAGCAGAGGTGTCATGGGCGCCTAGGCCTGAGGGCCCGCAGCGGAGCCACGGGGGAGACGTCGGCCTGCAGCGAGAGCACAAGGAAAGGCCCTGGTGAGTCCGAGGACCTGCGACAGCGTCCCTCCCCGAGAGGTTGCTGGGCGCAAATGCCAGCCCTGGGGCTGCAGGGAAACTGAGCCCAGGACGGGGATCTGCAGGCACCCACTGGGCTTACTCTTCACGAACCCTCCCAAGGATACTTCCAAGGGACCTCCAGCATGTGAAAACCAAAAGTGCCAATTCTCCCCCCAATGCCGGGGAAGGAGGGCCTGGTGGGACAGTGGCCAAGGGCCTCCCCACCCAGAATGGCCAGGAGAGGGCCTCCCTGGAGGCGGTCAATGCCGAAAACGGCCGGGAAGGGACAAGCAGAGACGCCGGCTGGCCTCGCTCCTTCCTGCAGGCTTCTCGGGCTCCACTCGTCAGGGACCCTCTTGCTCTTTACTCAGTGTGCCCATTGCTCCCCTGGACTTTATGCAGGGACAACAAAAGTCCTAGAATGGCATCCCACAGGAGTCACGCGGGATCGGGATGAGGAGCAGGGATGTCCCGCACGGAGCAGCCCACTTCAGCAACTTGATGTGCCAAGTGCTGGGGGGGAGGGGCAGGCGGCGGGGGAGGGGCTCTGGAGTCACCGACCGCGCCT